CAAATATGTTCATCTGAAAATCTCCAACCAAAATCTCATTAATGTCAACTAATGAAATACATCCCTTTATTATTCAATGATTTAAAATCTAAGATCAAGTATTAAAATGTTTTATTATTTACGTTATTCATGGGATGATGTAGTTTTCAGTTGGATCTTGTCTTCGATACCTTGGACTGGGGTTTCTGGCCTACTACCTTCCTCCACAGGTAGGACAGAATTACAAGTTCTAGTCCATAAAAATAAACAAATATTTTAAAACATTGGTATTTACAGTGGGGGGAAAAAGTATTTAGTCAGCCACCAATTGTGCAAGTTCTCCCACTTAAAAAGATGAGAGAGGCCTGTAATTTTCATCATAGGTACACGTCAACTATGACAGACAAAATGAGAAAAGAAAATCCAGAAAATCACATTGTAGGATTTTTAATGAATTTATTTGCAAATTATGGTGGAAAATAAGTATTTGGTCATAACAAAAGTTTCTCAATACTTTGTTATATACCCTTTGTTGGCAATGACACAGGTCAAACGTTTTCTGTAAGTCTTCACAAGGTTTTCACACACTGTTGCTGGTATTTTGGCCCATTCCTCCATGCAGATCTCCTCTAGAGCAGTGATGTTTTTTGGGCTGTCGCTGGGCAACACGGACTTTCAACTCCCTCCAAAGATTTTCTATGGGGTTGAGATCTGGAGACTGGCTAGGCCACTCCAGGACCTTGAAATGCTTCTTACGGAGCCACTCCTTCGTTGCCCGGGCGGTGTGTTTGGGATCATTGTCATGCTGAAAGACCCAGCCACGTTTCATCTTCAATGCCCTTGCTGATGGAAGGAAGTTTTCACTCAAAATCTCACGATACATGGCCCTATTCATTCTTTCCTTTACACGGATCAGTCGTTCTGGTCCCTTTGCAGAAAAACAGCCCCAAAGCATGATGTTTCCACCCCCATGCTTCACAGTAGGTATGGTGTTCTTTGGATGCAACTCAGCATTCTTTGTCCTCCAAACACGACGAGTTGAGTTTTTACCAAAAAGTTCTATTTTGGTTTCATCTGACCATATGACATTCTCCCAATCCTCTTCCGGATCATCCAAATGCACTCTAGCAAACTTCAGACGGGCCTGGACATGTACTGGCTTAAGCAGGGGGACACGTCTGGCACTGCAGGATTTGAGTCCCTGGCGGCGTAGTGTGTTACTGATGGTAGGCTTTGTTACTTTGGTCCCAGCTCTCTGCAGGTCATTCACTAGGTCCCCCCGTGTGGTTCTGGGATTTTTGCTCACCGTTCTTGTGATCATTTTGACCCCACGGGGTGAGATCTTGCGTGGAGCCCCAGATCGAGGGAGATTATCAGTGGTCTTGTATGTCTTCCATTTCCTAATAATTGCTCCCACAGTTGATTTCTTCAAACCAAGCTGCTTACCTATTGCAGATTCAGTCTTCCCAGCCTGGTGCAGGTCTACAATTTTGTTTCTGGTGTCCTTTGACAGCTCTTTGGTCTTGGCCATAGTGGAGTTTGGAGTGTGACTGTTTGAGGTTGTGGACAGGTGTATTTTATACTGATAAGTTCAAACAGGTGCCATTAATACAGGTAACGAGTGGAGGACAGAGGAGCCTCTTAAAGAAGAAGTTACAGGTCTGTGAGAGCCAGAAATCTTGCTTGTTTGTAGGTGACCAAATACTTATTTTCCACCATAATTTGCAAATAAATTCATTAAAAATCCTACAATGTGATTTTCTGGATTTTTTTTTTCAATTTGTCTGTCATAGTTGACGTGTACCTATGATGAAAATTACAGGCCTCTCTCATCTTTTTAAGTGGGAGAACTTGCAATATTGGTGGCTGACTAAATACTTTTTTCCCCACTGTATTTTATTGTGTCCAATCATTTTTTAAAAAATATTTCTTTTTAAGTTTCCAAATATGATGAAAGCCTTGTATTAAAAGTACATCTCAGTGCACACAAACCATTGTAAGTTACTTCCACCACAAGTAGGACAGAATTACAAGTTCATGTCCATTTTCAAGTTTTTTATTATTATTTAAAAACAACATTGGTATTTATTGAATTCTGTATTTTTTATTTGTATTTATTAGGGATCCCCAGTAGCTGCTGCCATGGCAGCATCTACTCTTCCTGTGGTCCAAACATATTAAAGCACTTACATTACATATAAAACAAAAGATAAAACAGTACATCATATAACATTACTACACCACTACCTATCTACAATACAAAATGTAGAGTACCACCATACGACAATATTACAATGTATGCGTATGCGTGTGTCTGTACCTGTGTGTGTGTCTCTTCACAGTCCCCGCTGTTCCATAAGGTGTATTATTACCTGATTATTTTTTTTATCTGATTCTACTGCTTGCATCAGTTGCCTGATGTAGACTAGAGTTCCATGTAGTACTGTGCACCTCCCATAGTCTGTTCTGGACTTGGACTGGGATTATGAAGTGTCCAATCAATATATATTTTTTCTCCAGTTTCCAACTATGATGAAAGCCCGGTATGAAAAGTACATCCCTTTGGACACAAATGGAAAAGATCTGGTACCAGAACTGATGGAATTACAAACCATTGTAAGTTATTTTCTAACAGGATGTGGCTTTCTATGATCAGTTAAACTGGTCTAAACTAGATCAATAGAACACATCTACAGTACTAAAACAATAGAGACACAAATGTTTTTCCTTTTGACCTTTTTTCTTCTTTCTGGTTCCTGTCTTTTAAATGTAACTTACTATTTGTTGGTGGCAGGTAGCTTAGTGGTTAAGAGCGTTGTGCCAGTAACCGAAAGGTCGCTGGTTCTAATCCCCGAGCCGACTAGGTGAAAAATCTGTCGATGTGCCCTTGAGCAAGGCACTTAACCCTAATTGCTCCTGTAAGTCGCTCTGGATAAGAGCGTCTGCTAAATGACCCAAAATGCAAATGCAAATTTGTTCAATCTGAACATGGGGAATGCTGTGGATTGGTCAACGGGTATGAAGATCGGGGTTCTCATGTCCCCTCCTCCTGTTACTGCTCTCCTCTCCAAGGAGAGTCCTGTGTTCTTACTGAGGTCAGACTGGGTCTTACATCTACAGAAATTAGACTATGACAAGCTCCTCCCATGCTGCCTTCCACACAAGCTCCTCCCATGCTGCCTTCCACGCAAGCTCCTCTCAAGCTCCTCCCATGCACCCATGCTGACTTCCACACAAGCTCCTCCCATGCCGCCTTCAACCACATGCTCCTCCCTACACCAGCGTTTATCAACCGCCACCGCCTCCGTACCAGGATGTTGGAAAAACTAAAGGGATGTGACTGACCAGCGAACCCCATGTGGAATTTCGTAATTGTTTTTAAATTAGGTTAGGGGTTTGGGGTTAGTTTGTCACATGCTTCCCAGTGGAAACAGTTCGCGCATATATTATGACAACATTTTGTGACGTTTTTTTTTTCATCTGTTCGGGCACACCAAAAATATTATTGAGGCAAGTCGAAGTTCGGTAGCCGAAGTCTACGCCCATTCATTGGTGATTGGTCAAAAGTAGTATTCGTAGTAGGAGTGCACTGGATTCCGCAATGAAGTGTTTGTTGTCATTTACGGAGTGACGGCTAGTTTTCGTGCACATTTTTTCACTTGAGAAATACTGCGCCAAACATCTTCGTTAGATGTAACATTGCGTGACTAAGACCTCTGCAAAAATGTCAAAATGATTTACAGATTTCTTATTTTACATTCATTCTGACTGACTATATTGAGGAAGTGTATACTGAGTCAGAAAGTTACAGACGCACAAATATCATACCCCCAAGACATGCTAACCTCTCACCATTACAATAACATGGGAGGTTAGCATTTGTTTGGGGGTATAATATTTGTGCGTCTAACTTTCTCACTCATCATTATTCACCACTCATTCAGGATTATCCGTAATCCTGGTAGCATCCACATTAAATGTAAAAGTGTTTAGAAACATATTCTATTCTTATTTACAATAAAAGTGACTCCAAAATGACACAATATATTATTTACCATTAATTTCTATTGGGCACAACATAATCTGAAACACAACCAAAACCAACAGCCCAATTCAGATTTTTTTTTCTCTCCACTAATTGGTCTTCTGACCAATCACATCAGATCGTTTCACTTTAGATCTTTTTCAGAGCTGATCTGATTGGTCAAAAAGACCAATTAGTGAAAAAAATGGATCAGAATTGGTCTGCCTGTGTAAACACAGCCAAAGTGCTGCAGTGGCCTTGAGTAATCTTATCCCACCCATTTCACATACTCTCTAAGAGCTGTCCGTCTACACTTGCGGCGTTGACCCCGAAAAAAAATCTAAAAACTTCCACTTCAATGCTACTGAATTTGGCAACTATGACTGAAATATTAATCTTTTAGAAAATAATTAAATTGAAAAAGGTGTTTATGTTTTCTGTTTAATGGCAGTGCCCTTGACTTGGACGTCTGATTACAAATGGCATTCCTTTCTGAACTCGTCGGCTCATTGTTACGCTGTGCAGACTGAAGGTTACAGCTCCTTTACAGAGCGAGGTAGCAGAGCCAATCATATGAGGGGCGTTTAAGTTATGCACTGGACTGTATCCACTGAAAACTAATATTTGCTTTTTCAACTTACTATTTCAAGTTATTGTGCTGCATCAAGTATTCTGAGTTATATCAACTTTAAAAATGTTCAGTTATCCTAACCTACACCACATTTAGTTTGATTAATATAAAGTACAGCGTCTACTATGTTTTCATCTAATTCACTAGGAAGAGGAACCTACAGATGCCCAGACAAGTGTTAATGCTTCCCTTAACGCCAGATAAAGGCCAAGTTTCACTAAAGTGTTTTCAACTGGCAAGAGGAAAAGAAAACTCCTTATTTTGATCAGTTTCTTCTGCTGTAGTTGGTAACCAAGGGCTTTCTGCCAATGCACATAGTAGTTAAAGAAACAACCTTCCAAACTTGGTCATTTTCCACCCTCTAACAGAAACAAGTTGAAGGGTCCTCTTTTAAACACAGTAAATCACCACGCAGGGTCCTGCGTTCAGTCCGTTATACGTCCAGTTATAGTTTGAAGCAACTGTTTTGGGATCGAGGACTTATTTATCCCACTATGGGGAATGGCAGAACTTACGTGAGAGGACTATGCATCACTTTCAATGTCCTGCTTCTGGTAAGTATGTGACCGGATTACATTTAAGTGTTTTGACCTGCTGGTTCTGATTTATTTTTTGTTTATTATTTAGTTAGTTAGTTAATGGGTTATGTTATGGATTCATCATTATAACAGTGTAGAAATCACATTAAAAGCACTTGTGTGACATTTAGTAACTAAAAAAGGTAATTGAAAAACAAAACGTTAGTCTAAAGTGCAATACAAAATTGAAAACATATTGAAGTATATCTATATTGTATAATATGCAGTGTAGTATGTTGCCAATAATGACCTCATACGGTATCCTAATACATATGAAACATACCGTAACATACCTAAAATATCTATACTTCCAGGTATCTGGTGTCTTTCTGTTTGTAGTTGGGGTTTCATACAGCTTTCAACACCCTCCTGAGGTAAGAACTGGACAAATGTGGTTGTTGTTTTTTTTTTTTTTTATCTCAGAAGAGTTTCTTCTGCTGCCACAAAATTCTTTATGTAATAAAATAATAACACAATTTACAATTAATTGTAAATTACCAAAGTTGTCAGGTCATTTAACTGACCTTAACATTTCCTGATGTGAAATTACATTGTAAAAACCTACAGTACGTCACCTAAAGTGATTTTGACAGCAACACAAAGATGCAACAATACTGTATCCTGCTCTTCCTTTCTCAGATGTTAAAGGCTCATTCAGAAAGTATTCAGACCCCTTGACTTTTCCCACATTTTGTTACGTTACAGCCTTATTCTAAAATTGATTAAATTGTTTTTCCCCCTCATCAATCTACACACAATACCCCATAATGACAAAGCAAAAACTGGTTTTTAGACATTTTTGCTGATTTATAAAAAAAAAAAAAACGGAAATATCACATTTACATAAATATTCAGACATTTTACTCAGTACTTTGTTGAAGCACCTTTGGCAGCGATTACAGCCTCGAGTCTTCTTGGGTATGACGCTACAAGCTTGGCACACTTGTATTTGGGGAGTTTCTCCAATTCCTCTCTGCAGATCCTCTCAAGCTCTGTCAGGTTGGATGGGGAGCTGTGATAAGGTGGTGTTGAAGGAGTCAGGCGCAGGAGGGTAAATCACAGAAACAGGCTTTAATCCGAAAAATACAGGTTTACGCAGAAATGCGTCAAACACACTCCAGGGCACAAAACAGGTGGACTGGAAAATACAAGGCACACGGGAAAAATACTCCCGTCGATACCAAATACAAGAGCTCCACCGAGCTACTAACCTCCACAACAAACAATCACCCACAAGGACAAGGGGGCAGAGGGAACACTTATACATGGACTAATTAGGGGAATAGAACCAGGTGTGTGTGATTGACAAGATAATTGATATGATGATTGGGGCGGCAGTGGTTAGCACTCCGGTGACGACGAACGCCGAAGCCTGCCCGAACAAGGAGGGGAGGCAGCCTCGGCGGAAGTCGTTACAGGAGCGTTGCTACACAGTTATTTTCAGGTCTCTCCAGAGATGTTTGATCGGGTTCAAGTCCGGGCTCTGGCTGGGCCACTCATGGACATTCAGAGACTTGTCCTGATGCCAATCCTGCGTTGTCTTAGCTGTGTGCTTAGGGTCGTTGTCCTGCTGGAAGGTGAACCTTCGCTCCAGTCGGAGGTCGTGAGCGCTCTGAAACAGGTTTTTATCAAGGATCTCTCTGTACTTTGCTCCGTTCATCTTTGCCTCGATCCTGACTAGTCTCCCAGTCCCTGCCGCTGAAAAACATCCCCACAGCATGATGCTGCCACCACCATGCTTCACCGTAGGGATGGTGCCAGGTTTCCTCCAAACGTGACGCTTGGTATTCAGGCCAAAGAGTTCAAACTTGGTTTCATCAGACCAGAGAATCTTGTTTCTCATGGTCTGAGAGTCTTTAGGTGCCTTTTGGCAAACTCCAAGTGGGCTGTCATGTGCCTTTTACTGAGTAGTGGTTTCCGTCTGGCCACTCTACCATAAAGGCCTAATTGGTGGAGTGCTGCAGAGATGGTTGTCCTTCCATCTCTACAGAGGAACTCTAGAGCTCTGTCAGAGTGACCATCGGGTTCTTGGTTACCTCCCTGACCAAGGCCGTTCTCCCCCGATTGCTCAGTTTGGCCGGGCGGCCAGCTCTAGGAAGAGTCTAGGTGGTTCCAAACTTCTTCCATTTAAGAATGGAGGCCACTGTGTTCTTGAGGACCTTCAATGCAATGAAATGTTTTGGTACCCTTCCCCAGATCTGTGCCTCGACACAATCCTGTCTCGGAGCTCTACGGACAATTCCTTCGACCTCATGGCTTGGTTTTTGCTCTGACATGCACTGTCAACTGTGGGACCTTATATAGACAGGTGTGTGCCTTTCCAAATCATGTCCAATCAATTGAATTTACCACAGGTGGACTCCAATCAAGTTGTAGAAACATCTCAAGGATGATCAATGGAAACAGGATGCACCTGAGCTCAATTTCGAGTCTCATAGCAAAGGGTCTGAATACTTACGTAAATAAGATGTTGTTTTTTTTTCCCAAAAAATTCTAAAAACCTGTTTTCACTTTGTCATTACGGGTTGTGTTTAGATTGCAGAGAAAATTGTTTTATTTAATCCATTTTAGAATAAGGCTGTAATGTAACAAAATGTGGAAAAAGTCAAGGGGTCTGAATACTTTCCGAAGGCAGTGTAATTGACCTTTATTGTTTTTTCATTGACCTTTATTATTTGTGTGAGTGCAGTTTGACCATCGGAGTACCCTCCATGAGATGTACGTACTAAATGTGTTTGGACCCATCACTGTACTTTTCTCCATCCTGGGAGGCTACGCTGCCTACAAAGACAAGAGAATACTTCTGATCCTGGTAAGTGTCTCTAAGGCTCCGTTCACACAGGCAGCCCAATTCTGATCATTTGCCCAATTAGTGGCAAAAAACAGATCTGATTGGTCAAAATTCCAATTAGTGGCAAAAAGTTCAGAAGTGGGCTACCTGTGTAAATGCAGCCTAACAGGATTGGGCTCAATTCCATTTAAATTCCATTCAATTCACGATGTACAATTAAATTAGAATTCTGTCTTTTCAATGCTTTTTAATGAGGAAAATGTTGATTTTGGAATTTGGTTTAATTTCTAAATTGACTGGAATTGAAATGGAATTGACAACAACCCTGGTTTCTAACAGCTTAGTCTCATATATCAGAGTTATAGGATTGATTTGTGTTACTATTCAAATTCATCTGATAGTTTTCAAATCAAATCTAGACAAACTATAATAAATGATTAGGACAGGTTTTTTTGGGGGGGGAAATGTGCATGTCGTTAACCTGTCTCTGTCTGTCTCTGTCTCTACATCTCTCTCTCTAGCTCTCTCTAAATATATAAATATATATACAATCTCTCTCTTTCTACAGTATGCTGTCTTCATGACCTGTGAATTCATAGCCATCGTAATAATCACTGTGCCGATGGTTCGTGCCCAACCAAAGGTACCCACTTCCTTCCCCCAAAAATGTAATTGAGTTAACGATTAAAAACTGTTGTTATGTTAATAAACAGTGAGTGATGTTATAATAAAGTGTTGTTATGTTAATAAACAGTGAGTGATGTTATAATAAACTGTTGGTATGTTAATAAACAGTGAGTGATGTCATAATAACGTGTTGTTATGTTAATAAACAGTGAGTGATGTCATAATAACGTGTTGTTATGTTAATAAACAGTGAGTGATGTCATAATAACGTGTTATTTATTCCTTTAGATGGAGGAGATTCTGGACAGAAGGTTTCACTCTGTGACTCCTCTTCACGATACTGAACCACAGTTCCAGAGGGAGCTGAACAAACTCCAGGCATCAGTAATGATCAATCAATCAATCAATCAATCAATCAATCTGGCTTCAGATCTGTATTAGCTTCAGCCAACTTGTCTGAATTTTGTTAGCATTGTCAGATCTGTATTAACTTTAACACCATCATAATTGCCATTAATCAATTTCTTGACAATGGTAGCCAGAATAGTTGGCAAAAACATACAGAGCGGACCATTTTTTCGCTGCAACTCCCCTACGGACCCGGGAGAGGCGAAGGTCGAGAGCCATGCGTCCTCCGAAACACGACCCTGCCAAGCCGCACTGCTTCTTGACACACTGCTCGCTTAACCCGCAAGCCAGCCGCACCAATGTGTCGGAGGAAACACTGTCCAACTGGCGACCGAAGTCAGCTTGCAGGCGCCCGGCACGCCACAAGGAGTCGCTAGAGCGCGATGGGACAAGGAAATCCCGGCCGGCCAAACCCTCCCCTAACACGCTGGGCCAATTGTGTGCCGCCGGTCACGGCCAGCTGTGACACAGCCTGGGATCGAACCCGGGTCTGTAGTGACGCCTCAAGCACAGCGATGCAGTGCCTTAGACCGCTGCGCCACTCGGGACGCGACTAATTGTTTGTTGTTGTTGTACAATTGAACAAATGTTGATATTTGGAGATTAGTGTTCTTTTTTTTTGGTTGGTTTGTTTATGTTTTTTTGTCCATTAGGATCAATGCTGTGGACTGCGTGGCCACTCAGACTGGGGTTGTCACATTCCACTCTCCTGCTACTGTCCTCTACCTCCTCCAGATGACTCAGTCGACGGTGGTTGTGAGACTGTAAATCCAGGCCTACAGAACACCATGGTGAGCTCACCTACAGTTACCTTACTGTCAGGAGATGGACAAGTAGAGCTAAGGCCGTCTTAACATTGAAGACATTTTAGATGCACAGAGATGACTAACAGCAGCAGCCAACGGATCGAGAAAAACAAAAGATGAAATTGAAATGGAGACATAAGATAGCCTTGGGGCCAGCCTTGAGTCATTTAACTGATAAACAGCTGAGGGATGGGTCTGGAGAAATGTAACCCCTCTCCAATTCATAGACAGAGCTATAGAGGCAAAGACTGACCATCCATGATATCAACATTATAGTTTGGAGGCTCTACAGTGTTTGTCTACAAACATTGGAGTAAAACAAGCTTATATTTGGGGTTCTGATGAGGTACGACAGTTGAACTAAGCTCATGAGCCATTTATAAGTTATATTGTTTAAGAATCAATGGGTATATACAGTTGAAGTCGGAAGTTTACGTACACTTAGGTTGGAGTCATTAAAACTTGTTTTTCAACCACTCCACAAATTTCTTGTTAACAAACTATAGTTTTGGCAAGTCGGTTAGGACATCTTCCTTGTGCATGACACAAGTAATTTTTCCAACAATTGTTTACAGACAGATTATTTAACTTATAATTAACTTTATCACAATTCCAGTGGGTCAGAAGTTTACATACACTAAGTTGACTGTGCCTTTAAACAGCTTGGAAAATTCCAGAAAATGATGTCATGGCTTTAGAAGCTTCTGATAGGCTAACTGACATCATTTGAATCAATTGGAGGTTTACCTATGGATGTATTTCAAGGCCTACCTTCAAACTCAGTACCTCTTTGCTTGACATCATAGGAAAATCAAAATAAATCATCCAAGACCTCAGAAAAAAATGTGTAGACCTCCACAAGTCTGGTTCATCCTTGGAAGCAATTTCCAAATGCCTGAAGGTACCACGTTCATCTGTACAAACAATAGTACGCAAGTATAAACACCATGGGACCACGCAGCCGTCATACCGCTCAGGAAGGAGACGCATTCTGTCTCCTAGAGATGAACGTATTTTGGTGCAAAAAGTGAAAATCAATCCCAGAATAACAGCAATGGACCTTGTGAAGATGCTGGAGGAAACAGGTACAAAAGTATCTATATCCACAGTAAAACGAGTCCTATATCGACATAACCCGAAAGGCCGCTCAGCAAGGAAGAAGCCACTGCTCCAAAACCGCCATAAAAAAAGACAGACTACGGTTTGCAACTGTACATGGGGACAAAGATTGTACTTTTTGGAGAAATGTCCTCTGGTCTGATGAAACAAAAATAGAACTGTTTGGCCACAATGACCATCATTATGTTTGGAGGAAAAAGGGGGAAGCTTGCATGTCGGAGAACACCATCCCAACCGTGAAGCACGGGGGTGGCAGCATCATGCTGTGGGGGTGCTTTGCAGCAGGAGGGACTGGTGCACTTCACAAAATAGATGGCATCATGAGGAAGGCTACCCAAAACATTTGACCCAAGTTAAACAATTTAAAGGCAATGCTACCAAATACTAATTGAGTGTATGTAAACTTCTGACCCACTGGGAATATAATGAAAGAAATAAAAGCTGAAATAAATAATTCTCTCTACTATTAGTCTGATATTTCACATTCTTAAAATAAAAGTGGTGATCCTAACTGACCTAAGACAGGGAATTTTTTACTAGGATTAAATGTGAGGAATTGTGAAAAACTGAGTTCAAATGTATTTGGCTAAGGTATATGTAAACTTCCGACTTCAACTGTATAATACATGTATAAGTCCAAAACTGGATGTATCAACTAAGGATTGTAGCTTTAAACAGACTTGAAACATTACAGAGGCTTGTGGTGACCTATAAAGAAGTTTGATCCCGTTTATCTGTCTCCGTGTTTTTCTGAAGCCAGACTGCCAGAACAATAACACACATGGACAAACTACAACTTCAGTGTCCCAGGAGCGCTGGGTGTACAGCAAGGTAAACCAATCTTACAGTGGGGAAAAAAAGTATTTAGTCAGCCACCAATATTGCAAGTTCTCCCACTTAAAAAGATGAGAGAGGCCTGTAATTTTCATTATAGGTACACGTCAACTATGACAGACAAATTGAGAAAAAAAATCCAGAAAATCACATTGTAGGATTTTTAATGAATTTATTTGCAAATTATGGTGGAAAATAAGTATTTGGTCACCTACAAACAAGCAAGATTTCTGGCTCTCACAGACCTGTAACTTCTTCTTTAAGAGGCTCCTCTGTCCTCCACTCGTTACCTGTATTAATGGCACCTGTTTGAACTTGTTATCAGTATTAAAGACACCTGTCCACAACCTCAAACAGTCACACTCCAAACTCCACTATGGCCAAGACCAAAGAGCTGTCAAAGGACACCAGAAACAAAATTGTAGACCTGCACCAGGCTGGGAAGACTGAATCTGCAATAGGTAAGCAGCTTGGTTTGAAGAAATCAACTGTGGGAGCAATTATTAGGAAATGGAAGACATACAAGACCACTGATAATCTCTCTCGATCTGGGGCTCCACGCAAGATCTCACCCCGCGGGGTCAAAATGATCGCAAGAACGGTGATCAAAAATCCCAGAACCACACGGGGGGACCTAGTGAATGACCTGCAGAGAGCTGGGACCAAAGTAACAAAGCCTACCATCAGTAACACACTACGCCGCCAGGGACTCAAATCCTGCAGTGCCAGACGTGTCCCCCTGCTTAAGCCAGTACATGTCCAGGCCCGTCTGAAGTTTGCTAGAGTGCATTTGGATGATCCAGAAGAGGATTGGGAGAATGTCATATGGTCAGATGAAACCAAAATAGAACTTTTTGGTAAAAACTCAACTCGTCGTGTTTGGAGGACAAAGAATGCTGAGTTGCATCCAAAGAACACCATCCCTACTGTGAAGCATGGGAGTGGAAACATCATGCTTTGGGGCTGTTTTTCTGCAAAGGGACCAGGACGACTGATCCGTGTAAAGGAAAGAATGAATGGGGCCATGTATCGTGAGATTTTGAGTGAAAACCTCCTTCCATCAGCAAGGGCATTGAAGATGAAACCTGGCTGGGTCTTTCAGCATGACAATGATCCCAAACACACCGCCCGGGCAACGAAGGAGTGGCTTCGTAAGAAGCATTTCAAGGTCCTGGAGTGGCCTAGCCAGTCTCCAGATCTCAACCCCATAGAAAATCTTTGGAGGGAGTTGAAAGTCAGTGTTGCCCAGCGACAGCTCAAAAAACATCACTGCTCTAGAGGAGATCTGCATGGAGGAATGGGCAAAAATACCAGCAACAGTGTGTGAAAACCTTGTGAAGACTTACAGAAAACGTTTGACCTGTGTCATTGCCAACAAAGGATATATAACAAAGTATTGAGAAACTTTTGTTATTGACCAAATACTTATTTTCCACCATAATTTGCAAATACATTCATTAAAAATCCTACAATGTGATTTTCTGGATTTTTTTCCCTCATTTTGTCTGTCATAGTTGACGTGTACCTATGATGAAAATTACAGGCCTCTCTCATCTTTTTAAGTGGGAGAACTTGCACAATTGGTGGCTGACTAAATACTTTTTTCCCCCACTGTATCTGAAAGTTTTTTCTATTTTATTTTGATGCAACAATTTTCAGTGAAAGCTAGCTAGCATTGGACTAAACTGACTCCAAAGTTACATGATAAACCACAAAAGAATTAAGAGAGCTGTTACCACAGAGATACTATTCAATTACTAATATGTAATTGTAATATATAATGAGTTCTATTATCTAATTATATGGCTGTTACAATGCCATCTTTATCTGTTCCAGCCTTGTGGTCCCATCCTGAAGAGACACATGATCCTCCTGATTCAGATCATGATCGGATTCATCTCTACATTTACCACCACTATGGTATGACCACTGATTTGTATTGTTTAATGTTGATTCATGTTTTATTTTAAAGCTACTGCTGTTATTGTTTAAATGTTTCATGTTGATTCATGTTTTATTGTGAAGCTACTGTTATTATTTTAATGTTTCATGTTGATTCATGTTTTATTGTGAAGCTACTGTTATTGTTTTAATGTTTCATGTTGATTCATGTTTTATTGTGATGCTACTGTTATTGTTTTAATGTTTCATGTTGATTCATGTTTTATTGTGAAGCTACTGTTATTGTTTTAATGTTTAATTTTGATTCATGTTTTATTGTGATGCTACTGTTATTGTTTTAATGTTTAATGTTGATTCATGTTTTATTGTGAAGCTACTGTTATTGTTTTAATGTTTCATGTTGATTCATGTTTTATTGTGATGCTACTGTTATTGTTTTAATGTTTAATGTTGATTCATGTTTTATTGTGATGCTACTGTTATTGTTTTAATGTTTCATGTTGATTCATGTTTTATTGTGATGCTACTGTTATTGTTTTAATGTTTCATGTTGATTCATGTTTTATTGTGATGCTACTGTTATTGTTTTAATGTTTCATGTTGATTCATGTTTTATTGTGAAGCTACTGTTATTGTTTTAATGTTTAATGTTGATTCATGTTTTATTGTGATGCTACTGTTATTGTTTTAATGTTTAATGTTGATTCATGTTTTATTGTGATGCTACTGTTATTGTTTTAATGTTTAATGTATTCATGTTTTATTGTGAAGCTACTGTTATTGTTTTAATGTTTCATGTTGATTCATGTTTTATTGTGATGCTACTGTTATTGTTTTAATGTTTCATGTTGATTCATGTTTTATTGTGAAGCTACTGTTATTGTTTTAATGTTTAATTTTGATTCATGTTTTATTGTGATGCTACTGTTATTGTTTTAATGTTTAATGTTGATTCATGTTTTATTGTGAAGCTACTGTTATTGTTTTAATGTTTCATGTTGATTCATGTTTTATTGTGATGCTACTGTTATTGTTTTAATGTTTAATGTTGATTCATGTTTTATTGTGATGCTACTGTTATTGTTTTAATGTTTCATGTTGATTCATGTTTTATTGTGATGCTACTGTTATTGTTTTAATGTTTCATGTTGATTCATGTTTTATTGTGATGCTACTGTTATTGTTTTAATGTTTAATGTATTCATGTTTTATTGTGAAGCTACTGTTATTGTTTTAATGTTTAATGTTGATTCATGTTTTATTGTGATGCTACTGTTATTGTTTTAATGTTTAATGTTGATTCATGTTTTATTGTGATGCTACTGTTATTGTTTTAATGTTTAATGTATTCATGTTTTATTGTGAAGCTACTGTTATTGTTTTAATGTTTAATGTTGATTCATGTTTTATTGTGAAGCTACTATTACCTCCCCAGGTGTTATTTCTTTAGATGCAAGACAAGTGTAGCATTTAGCACAACTATGGTTCAATACCACAATGTGGACTCATTGTTGTGGATATGAGTGAATAAAAAGCACATTATTCTGTGCAAATTTCTATATGTTATATTATGTTATTTTTTAAAAAATTTTTACGTGTTATACATTGTAAATAAACGGGAACATTTAAACTTGATCTGTTCCACTGTATTCCAGATTGCTGCCATCGTGATGTCTCTGGTGCTGCTGGCCCTGCAGCTTCGGTCCACAGAGCCACCGCTCAACGACAGCCTCGACAGAGTCAAGTACCAACTCAGTCCTCTAGCTCTCCCCTGACCTCAGCGTCAACACCACAGATAACCATCCTCTGCATAAGGAGGAGAAGATTATTTATATATATTTTCCAAACTATTATCCTACTGCTGGTCTTTTATTTGGAACACAAGCTACAGTGGAAATCAACACGTCTAAATTCCAGTGCCTGAAACGTTTTTGTTTTTTTATTACACAATAAATGCACTCAAATGAAAAATGCTATTTTAAAGTGTTGCATTGCCACTTGTGGGAGCCAGCCTCTGTTGCACTGTTTGAGAATGTGCATCAGTGGTTAAAGTCTGGGTTTTCTGTGGTTTTCTGTACATGATAAATGCCAGTTGTTCCCCTCAGATCTAACTATTGTACCTTGTTTTTGAAGTGCATTAAAAAAAGATGAACTGCAAGTTAATAGTGAGTGCATAAGTGTGGTATCACAATGGTGAATGAATACGGCATTATGAGTATCTGTCCAACACGGTGAAAGGTTTTTCACCCTCGCAAATAACATGTATCATGCCAGTAAACAACCAGCTCAGAGTTAAATGAAATTATATTATTTAAATCATTACTGCTTGTTGTAATTCTGTCATAGTAAAAAGTGCTATGCTGCTATGACACAGCCAATTTGGTAAGTGGAAACTGGCAGTTATGATTGGACAATGTGATTGGATGAACATAACCTCAAAGAGAGTCCATATAAGAAGATACGCATTAAGGGGTGGTTCCCATAGAAACGCCTGACCACGTTAGCTTAGCATGGCTGACAAGCTAGCTATGTAGAACCATGTAATAAAGTTGTTTACGACAAATATGGATGTGTCAGTTTGTCCCTTTCATGGTCATGTAGTGAAGACATATTCAGCTAGTAAAGAAACGGTCTTCAAGATAGCTAATGTATTGAGATTTAGAGAATAAGTACCAACAAGGGACGACAAGTTTGTCATTTTCCCCCCATTGACAACCAGCCGGCCCAAATCCTGCCCTGCCCTGACCTACTAAGCATCATGTAAACGACCGTCACAGGAAGTGCCTTTTAGAAACCCTGCCTGTTTTAAACATCATTTACCGTAGATGCACAGATGAAAGACCGCCCTCCTCACACACAGTGGTATTATTAAAGCGGTGTGTTCTGTTGAAACAGCCTGACTTGAGAATAGGGGATACATAACCAAGCTAGTGGATACTCTGTGTGCCCAGCATCGTTTTTAACAGCCTCTTTTGCTTTTTGATTCTGTTCACAATGGCACAGGTCAACAGATGTCTGAAACAGCTGTTCTTTGGATTCAACATGTTGTTAGGGGTAAGCAATATTAAGATGAGATAACCTCCATTTTTTGGGGGGGGTTCATTAAGTGTACCTGTTGTTGGTTTATTCATAGATATTTCTGCCTGTTTGTCTTTCAACCTCTTCATTTATTTTTGATTTTTTATAAAGTAGTTCTTCATTTTAGCTCTGTTGTTTGACTACTTCTGTTATCTTTGTTTCTAACTCTTCTTTATGCATTGGTTCATGCATTCTAAAAATTGTGACACGGTTTTCCCCGGTGTTTAGATTGCAGGTTGTGTCCTATTGGTTTTGGGAACGACCGCAGCACCACACGATAAAGAGGTGAAAATTATCCTACTAATTAACAACACAAAACGACAATGGTAAAACTTAGTTCTGTGATTCAGCCCCAGTGACAATGCTTTTGATCCTTTTTTTCCCCCAGCTTGACCAAGGAGAGTCAACTGGCTTGGCATGGATTGTATCAACTGCAGTTGTTTCTGTGCTACTCTCTTTACTTGGAGCATGTGGTGCATACAAAGAGAACATTGCGTTACTGAAAGTGGTAAATACTTGAAACTCATTCACACAGTACAAGCCAGTACAAAACATCACATTATTAATAATCATTATTAACCATATAGTGTTTCTAAAATACAAATACAAAATTCAACTTTTCCTGCGAGAGACGATAATATGGTTGCATGGTAACATTATATGCAAAATATAATATAATAACATTTTAAAGCAATGAATTAAAAACAAAACTGTATCATTATGTATGATTTAGTAATTGTTGGTTTCCCAAAAATTTGTATTTTGTTTTCAGTTCGTTGGAATAATGGGCTTTGGAATAATCGTCTTTCTTATTGTTGGATTTAACGTGGCTCGTTCAATGCCTGAGGTAAACTTTTTCTTTAGATATTTAAAAGTCCTGTGAAAAAAAAATTCTTAATTTGTCAATAGTCGCATTAGACTTTGTAAGAAAATGCATCGCTTTTAAGTCGATATCAATCACTTACACTGTTTATCTTAAACTAAGCTGTTAAACAGAAGGGTTTGAACGTTCTGTAGACACAAGCTATTGATATATATTTTTTCCCAGTCAATATTTTGTACCTTTACTTTGTGGCTTAATTAACACTTTAAATAAAATAAAAAAGGCATCTTAAAATTGTTGAATCCTCTGAAAACGTTTTTTTTCTTCTCATAATTTAAAGGCCATGCAAATGATTAAAGAAAACCTCCCTGCAGCTACATCAGCAATGATGGCTGATGAAGAGCACCGACAAACGATCATGGCTCTACAAGCAGAAGTACTGTAGAAGTCTACATATTGTCCACAATTATTAATATTCATAAATAGGTTGCAAAATTGGAATATCTTTCCCTAAATTCCCAGGTTTTCCTGAAATCCTGGTTGGAGGATTCAGGATTGCCTGCTTATTCCCTTCGTAATCTGGGAATCTTCCAGCCAGGATTTCTGGAAACCTGTGAATTTTGGAAAAGTTACCAGAATTTTACAACCCGATTCATATAGAAGTCTTTAATCTGTCATGATCAATTCGTCAGACTAGCAATGTACTGTGCATTTTACACAGTTTCTCACCCTGTGTTCACGGTTTCTCACCTTGTGTTCACGGTTTCTCATCTTGTGTTCACGGTTTCTCATCTTGTGTTCACGGTTTCTCACCTTGTGTTCACTGACAACTGTGTCTGCTGTTGCAGGCTAAGTGTTGTGGAATAATGAGTTACAGAGACTGGGATAGCAAGATTCCAGAGACCTGTAAATGTTCTACTTTCAAATCAGACCCATCCCAATGTATGGAGGTGCAAACAACTAAAGATGACGGCATCTGGGTAAGTTCTAAAATCAAACTTCAGCTGTTTTAAATGGGGCTAGGAGTTTTTCCTCCTAACTATGTGATTTGAGCAGGAATAACTCCCGGCAACCTACTAATTCAGTTACGAGAAAAATGACAAGAAGAAAATGTTACATATGTCAAAATAATTTTGAATCCAATAATGTTCTTTTTAAAACATTTTTCTTCCATTGTTTGTTACCTCAGGGAACATCTGAAATGATGTGGATCTACAGCAAGGTAATGCTTCTTTATGTCAGCCACAACAACACTATATATTACTTCTAAAAGTTGGTACATTGAGGATACATTCTCTACTGTACCCTACTATCTGTACCACTTACACTCCCCCTACCTTTCTCCCACCCCGACC